TTCACCATGTGTTTTCTGTACTATTTTATATCATAAATACGTATAATCAGCAGCTTAGCTATAAACTATGAAAAACAATTTTAAAATTTCTATATTGGCCACTAAATATATTACAATGGTCTATTAAGCCACGTGGATTTAATTCCATATCGAAGACGAAAGACGTGTTCTTCTCGAGAGCGAACCTTAAATTCGCAACACGCCGGATCATTCCTTATTCAATTCACTTGACCAGGGAATCCGAGCGGTTTCCCTGACGCAATACGAACGTATTAACTCGATAATAGCAGTAGCCATCTTGTAATCAGCATTGCCAAACAGTTTGCCGGGACCAGCCGAACTAGATCACCGTCTATTGTATACGGATTATACCGTGATCCAAATCTTGTTAACGTAGAAGCTTTCCGCATACAGAGATGTGTATAGAGCGTTCTCGGGGAAAATGAGATTTCATCTCGAATTCTGAATCACCGTGCAAGAGTTCCACCCAGGGGACGGTCTTCTTGCCAGGGATGTTTCACCTTTTAACAGGGGACGGCGAGTTAACTCGTTGGAAGAATCTTTTTCAGCTCTTCTCGCGAGTTACCTCGTCGTGGGGCTCCGAAGGCGACGCTGGTTAATTTAAACTTGACGTGTCGATTGTTTCTGATTGGGAACTGCTCGAGAGTTTGAGGAGCTAATTGCTTTAATTAGGCTCGATATTTTAACGTAGAAGGGTACCTGTTGATCGCAATTAGGTAGAATTTCTCGAGAAGCTGGAAATATATATTATATTAAATATAATGTTACAAAGAAATATTTTTTTTCTATCTTTAGGCTTCTTGATGATTGGTGGATTTTAAATAGGGATCTTCATGGAATAGAGTGGTCGTGAACCTAGATCTATTTTAGATTCACTCGGTAAATAGGTACTGAGTCACAGAATGTGGTTGGGGATTGTAGATGTTTGTAGAAATCACTTAAATGTTGCTTTCATGACTCTAAATACCAATAATACACATATTACAGCATTTAGAAAATAAGAGATTCATTCTAGTTTCAATTCTTTTTCTGCATCTACAAAAATATGAATTTTCGTAAGCATAAACAGACTACTAATAACTATGTGTGTTTCCTCAGACTGTAATCATATCGTTTTATTCTTTACAGTGTATATTTGCCATTTAATAAAATACGGACAAACGTTATTCGGTAACGTATTACATCGTTCCCCTTTCGAACGAACGGCAATCCCTTTTGATATGAATTTATTGCGTGCTTATAAACGCGTAAACACTCCTTTGCTCCCTCGTTCCTGTTAATTAATTGGCTTTCCACGCACAATATTTCGCTTTGCACGCACAGGCGCAGACCTCGTCATTAACATAATCGATAATCATTGGCGCCTTCGAACAAATTCGCACGAAATTGATCAACGCTCGTTAGCCAACGTTTGTAAATGTCTAGCAAAAGTTGCGAGATGTTTATTTCGGCAACAGTTTAACGAAGAACTCTCGACGAACGCGTTAACGACGTTGTTCTGCGAATAACATACGTATTAATTAATTAATGTGTTTATCGGTCTGAATTCGAAGTGTTTTCGACAGAAAAATGGACCTGCAGTTAAACGCGATCAGTTTTAGCTTACCTGCTGCTTGGCAAACAATGCACCGCGTATTATAATTTTAGAATAAAAATAAAGTATGGATGCTTGTGATAAAATTCTTCAAGACCCAAGAATGATTAATAAATTTTTAATTTATTATACTGTGCAGGAAGTAGATGGAATTTTTGAATTGCATTTTTGTCAAATCCTGTACAGATTCCTCGGAGATCTACCAGAAAAATTTCATAACTTCACGTGAAGCCGTTTCCAATTGATTCCGTCGCAGACAAACATCCCTCGGTTTTATTATTAGTACAGATGAGACTCTCGACCTCTTTCAACTACCGTACGTGCGACTTTTCCAATTCCGGGGTCCTTTGAAAAATGAGACACCCCGTAGATCGGAAATTATTTTTCCAATAACGGTAACAATAATGACACGGATTGCCTGGTTATTGAAAGTAAAAACCGTAGTCGTTCGTGCTCCTCCATTCCTCGCATCGTCCATCAAGTGACACGAACACTCTTCGTTCGATTAATGTTTCGAAGCTTGCATTAAATTTTTGTTACCACCATGACAATGTTGAAAATATCTTATCTTAAGTTATGTCTCAGTCACTTATATCTTCGACATATTATATTAATTTTAGAAAAAAAAATGTGGATATATTGGATGCAGAAATTAATTCCGTGTTTTTACATTGACCTCGCATTTCCTGCGTATAAGTGCATTCTCCATATTTGCATACACACCATCCCTTATGACAAATATTAGTCAATAAATAGAACGGCCAGCAGACGCGTGAATGAGTTCGATCGATAACTCGCGCATTAAGATGCCCGTTTAAAGAGAAAGAAACCACCCTCCCCCACCCCCGGCCGATCGTCGAGTCATCGCCGTCCTCTAATTGAGCGCTAAATTAATGAGAAAACAAGCTGGCCGCGAGTCGCTAACGACCAACCCAGTTTCGCGTTTTATTTGACGAGGGACCCGTGCTGAAGCGACGTTTATCGATGTTCCGCGCCAAGGACGGAGGGGCGTTGCCTTTTACCTTTCCTTCTATTCTCCTTTTTTCCTTTTTTTTTTCGTTTTCCCGCTAAATCCCAGCGCCCACGGACGATAAAGCTTTAGGAGGGGAATGGTTGCAAAGGGAAAAGGACGGCAGTTGCCTCGCAACTGATAGCCGAACGTTCTCCTTCGCCGTCTCGAAGCGCTGGATTACCACGAAAAGAGCGATCTCGACTTCGGTTACGACCAGGATGAAGTCGAGACTGCACGGCCGAGACGCGGGGGTGTCGAACGAACCCCGGGGTCCCCGTAAAAATTCCCCAGGGCCCGTTTCGACGCTGTAAAATTCGTTTCGAGGCGTCCTTGGGAAGGATGCGCCCCTGGAGGATTCGCTCGATCTGCGTATCGGAGGATACGTTCAAGGGTACCTGTTACTTGCAGCGAAACGCATCGGTTGCCTTAGGGAATTTACGAAGTTTTATAGAACAACGAGAATAGGCGATTATAAAATATGGAAAATATTCAATTTTACTGTACGATATTGTAGTGGCCCGGTGCTACTCGGGCAAAGCTACGGGCAAGAGAAATAAGGAATGGCAAGCAGTGCCATATACAGTGGGTGTAGAATGTATTCGTACACCGATCAATTTCCCAAAAAACTTTTGTGTGAAATTGTAGTTTCTTAACTTCTTTTTTTATAATCAATGATATTTTACATATTCTCGAAAGTCTCTAAGATAGATGTAGTCCAAACAACATTTACTAGTTAATATAATTTGTGAAATTAACAAAAAATTGCGAAAAGTGGGTAAAAGTATCGAAGCAATAAGTATTTGTCAGATTATAACGACGAACCATTTTCAGTAGAGTTTGTAACGTAAACACATTAGTTTATTGCTCCGTGCGAATTAGAAAATATCAAATTTCCAGTAAAGTACTTTTAAACAGTGTGCGAATACTTATCGCTCAACATTTCTATCGATTAATTGTTTTTTTCTTGTTAATTTCGCAACTTACATAAATAGCTATTTTTTTTTGTAATCTATCTATTCTACAGATTTTCGAGAATATGTAGAATGTCATTGTTTACAAAAAATAAGTTAATAAATTACAATTTTACACAGTTTTTTGGGAAATTGATCGGTGTACGAATACTTTCTACATTCACTGTATGATTCTCGATTCACTCATAAATGCATCTGCTACGTAGAGGAAAGGTCCACCCTCCTAGAAAGAACTGAACGTCAGCCTCTTCAAGAAACACTTTCAACAAAGAAACACTTGCCTTCATTGATGCCCATAACCAAAC